CTCTGCCTCTCTCTCTCTCTCAGAAATAAACATTAAAAAAAAAAAAAAAAAAAACCCTGCCCTCCATTGCCAACGTGCAAATGACAAGAGCCCGGGTGGGCCGCGTTGGGACAAGAGACGGCGGTGGGGGCAGGAGCTGTGCGCGATGCAGGCAGCTGCCCCAGCCCTCCACCTCCGGACGGGACTGGACGTGGCCTGAGCCGAAGATGCAGGCCCCACGTAACAAACCTCACAGAAGAGCCAAGGTGTCCACCCGCCAGGGACCATGGATCCCACTGATCACACCCTCCGATCACCAAGTAGGAGCCGGGAAGCCCATTGCGGCCAACGGAGAGGAGCAGACAGGGAACAGCCGAGAGCCACGGGGCCTCACTGGCCACGGCAGGTGGTTCCACTGGCCAGAAGCTTCCCCAGACTCCAGGGTCCGCGACTACAATATTTGTTTCTCCACCAGGTCCACACCTGTGGTTAAAAATTTGTCACTGAAATAATTGGGTGGCTTGCATTTAAGGGAAGGCATTAGCGTCTAGTTCAGCACAATGGACAGTATGGCTGCTGGGGGAGGGGCGCTAGGAACCATTTGTGCTGCGGGTATAAGTGATGTGTGTGGCGGGCGCCGGCCGGGGCACAGCGGGTCGGGGCTGGCTGTGGTCGAAGGGCGCTATTGACTCTACAGCTTGTCACGTGCTTTTGACAGAATCGCATCCGAATGCACACAAAAGATCTTTAAAACACTTCAGAAACGTGAGTGCCTTTCAAGGGGTGACAGGAGGTGGGGGCTAAACGGTGGACAAGGCTTCGAGGACCCAGGAGGCAGGCCCTGGGCGAGGACACAGCCACCGCAGCGGGCCAGGACCACACCTGGGGACAGGGCAGTCCCTGCCGGGACATGCTCCCCGTGGAAGGCTCCATCGGACTTCAAACAGACAGACAGCAACGTGAATACTCCATCGGAAAGCACACGAGCTGCTAGCAGTTACTGGCTGAGCAACGATTTCACAAGCCAGAAACTGAATGCACGTCTTTGTGCAGAAAATAATCATTTTTATGTCCCCACCAGGTAAACGCTCGGCAGACCTGAGCCCGGCCCAGCTCCCCCGCGGCCACTCCGGACGGGCCGCCAGCTGCCAGGACCCTGTTCTGTAACCGGCCCCGGCCCATGGCACGCGATGTGTCATCTCCCCGTCATTCGTGTCAATTTCTGTCACTGAGCAAAAGAAATCTCTCAAGTGAGGGGTGGGTCAGCAAAACATTCAGATGCAGGAGGTCAATCCCTGGGAGCCTCGTGGCCGCACCCCGCAACTCCGAGGGCTGATCTCGAAGGGAAGCCACGGCCAACTGGCTTCCGTGGGTTCGTGCCCCAGGAAACCACTTTGCCATGTGGACGCTTTGCGGAAGCAGCAACGTCCACGTCCGTGCGAGAACGCCTCACGCGTGGAAACGTGCCCGTGACACCAGTTTTCGTTCTAACGTCATTTCAACTAGAAGCGTACAAATTCCAATTTGTCCTAATCAAGTAACACAGCGATGCCTATATTCTAATTAAAAAATAATTTCTTTTATCGCGCCTCCCAACTTGATGTGTTTCTCCTGGTGAAGTTAGGAACGTGCAACGGTTCAGCCTGCCCAGGCAGGAGTGTCTCAGGTAGGAGACCCGGACTCATTTAATTATTACTAAACAAGCAAATGGCACACTATTAGACAAATATTAAAGCAAGCATTGCGCTCAGTTATTAATTTGCACGATTCACTTTTAAATGCAGCAAATATCTCATTAATTTAATTTTAGGTGCCCACCCGTTTATATTGCATTTTACAGTCTAAAAGGCAATTTACTATTAACTGGCAATTACATACAGAGTGATTGTTAATTCTGCTCCTAAGTGCTAGCTGCTCGAAAATTGTTCTCTCTCTCTAATTTTTGACCTTCTTACAACGGGGGTGAGACACACTGGGAATACAAAGGGCCCGAGTGGAAGAGCCGGACATGTCATTTGTGACTCCTCCTTTCAATTCACCATGCTAATCAACTGAGCTGCTATGGCCTCCGAAGGTAATTCGGCCTTTACAGTGGCTGAAGGCAGCAGGCCGGGGGGCCTGGACGGCCGGGCCCAGGGCGGGGGCAGCAGAGAGCACCCACGGCCTCTCCGGGTTGACTGATCGGGTCTGGTTCTGAAAAATCTGGTGTTTCTCAGATCACTGTAAACAGATCATTTAGGCCTTTGCGTCTGGCGGGCGGGGGCCCTCCTCCTCGGGCAGGTTCATTATCCCCGGGCCTGGCTGCCTCGGCCGGGAAGGTTCACCGTGAGGGTGTCCCGGCAGCCTCCGGGGCTGATAGGAGCCAGATGCCCAGGGGACGGCGTCCTCCCTGCAGGGGCCGTGCGCCCGCGTCCTGACGTCCAGAAGGGCTGGCTCGCTTTTCAGCGGGGGGAGGGCAGTTCCCAGTGATTGCTTCGTCCCCGTCAATTCCAGGGCGATGCAAATCAGACAGAAGCTTCCAGGTCAGACAGGTTATGACCCCACCTTTCCTCTGCTCCCTGAGAGTGTGCGGGGCCCCGTATCCCTTACACAGCGTTTGAAATGTATATTCCCGTTAATGAGTGGGGTGGGGGGAGGCAATAAATTAGCCTCCCGCTCGGAGAGGCTGAGCTCACTGAATGGCCTCATTGAAACGTCCGTTCGTGGGAGAACGCTGCATGCGCAGGGGGGGCCCTGAGCCCGCGGCCCCAGAAGCCGGTCAGCCTGGATGGGGGGCGCGACGCCCACCCTGCAGAAAGGGAAGGTGGCATCAGGGACAGCGGGCGGCAGCCGGCACCCTGGGGGATAAACCTGGAAGAGGCAGAGCGCCAGCCACCCCTCACCAGGCGCGGCCAATGCCAGGGCGCTGCACACGTGACCCCCGCGGCCCTGCCCTCACACCGTTTCCCATCTTTCCTGCGCTGGTTCCCAGAGCTCGGCCGGCCCCTCCTGCCGTCAGAGGGCAGACCCGGCCCCTCACGTCCTTCTCACAGTGCCCGCGACGCCCCCCACGCCATCCCGTGGATGCAAAGGTCTGATCCAGGACAGCAGCCCCGGCCGAGGCCTCGATCCAGGACGGGCGGACTAGCTGCTGTGGGAGAAGCCGTCCTCCGTGCCGGTGCAGACGGGCAGGTCGGGCCGGCCACGTACACGCTCACGGCCGGGCCCTCCGCCAGCCAGGACGCCCTGTCCGTGGCACAGCTGCGGCCCACACACAGCCTGGCCGGTGAGGAGATGGTAAATGTCTCCTCTCAGAGGAGCAGGACCTGACGGCGGCCACCCTAAGTGTCCACGGAAGGTGCCCTCCTGAGTGCCCACCTGGGGCGGACGTGGCCCCTAAGTTCTCCCTGACCTCCACAAAATCCGCGGGGCCGGGCGGGGGAGAAAGCGGGACTCGGGGGGCCGGGAGGCGCCGGGCCCAGGCCATCCGGCCAACGCCAGGCAGAGCGGAGCACGTACAGCCTCAGGTTCTCAGGTGCCTGTGCGCCGTGAACGCGAGGGGCCCGGAGGCCCTGCTGGGGGCGGGCGCCTGGCACCGGGAGCACCCACCACACAGCACTCGCTTGTTGGGGACGCGTGGACGCTCACAAGATGCCCCACAGCTCGCTCCCCCAACAGACACACCGGGGGCCTCGCAGATCAGAGGAGATGACACCCCCCCCACCGCGTCGGGATCGCCCCAGGGGGAGCCGAGCGCACCGGATCCCAGCAGAGGGCCCAGGACGTGCACCCACAGCTTTTCACTACGTCCTCGTCCCCTGGCAGCTCTGGGCTCCTGGGGGAGCATGCTGGTCCCACGGAAGCTAGCGGCCCTCCGCGTGGGCACCTCCTCTCCCAGCTGCAGCGCGGGGCGGGGCGCCGGGACGGACGGCGGGGGAGGCGCCCCCCACGGGGACCCCGGGTGTTGCTGGCAGCCAAGCTGTTGAGGCCTGGACGCCTCTGGGGACGACAGCCGTGGCTCGGAGGGGACCCACGTCAGGCCCACCCCTGCGGTGATGCCAGGCCCACGGGAAGCCATGCTGGGAGCATCTCACACCCACTCGACCCTTCCTGCAGGCGAAGCGCGTGAGGAAGCCCGCCTCCCTCCACACCCCCCAGTGGACGGGACCTCAGCGGCTGCCACGTCCACCTGCCTGGTGGACAGAGAGGCCCCATCCCAGTGGGAGGCCACACCCACTCTGGGACATCCTCAACCAGTGACCCCAGCCCAGACTCCCGGCACGGAACACCCCCCGCCCGACAAGCACCCATCCCTGTCGCCTCCTGGGGTTTTGGCAGGTGCCGCCCAGCAGTACAAACACGTCTCAAATATTAGAACTTCTGCAGCTGGCTAGGACTGGAAATCAACATGCAAAGACACCTGGAGCTTGTTCATGGCGTTTCTCAACAGCAAAACCTCGGACAAATGGTGTTAGCTGAGCACCTGTGTGGGCGGAGCATTGTATAAAACAACTCTGCGTCATCTCAGAGGCCACCCTTTCTGGTGACACAAGCTTGAGACCCTCCCAGAAAGAGGATCACAGCACAGGGCCTGGAGCAGACGGCCGGCTCCCCCCGTGCGTGCGTACGCTGCGTGGCCCTGGGCACGTGACATGCGCGTAATGTCGGAGTCCCAACCTGTGCGAATGAACGGCAACATCACGGGCCGCCACGCGAGGTGACCGTGTGGGCTCCACATGAGCCCAGTGGAGGCTGGAGGTGACCTGTTACAGGCAAGCCCACCACCTCGCTTTACAGGCCAGAAGGCCAAGGTGTGCAGGTGTGGGGAGTGGCCCGAGATCACACGGCCCGAGGGGGCCGCACCCGTCCACGGCAGCACCAGCTCTCACACAAGGATGCTGGAACCATGCGCCCGACTGAGGGGGCTTCGCCTTGTCCTCCCGGAGGGACCCGCGTGTGCAGGCCCACGGGGCCCCCTCCCAGTCTGCCATGGGGCGGACACATCCACCCCTTGGCCACCGAAGTCGGAGATGTGAACTCACCGGTGTAGACAAACCGCCCAGGAGCACCTTTACAGAACTGCTTGGATTTGTAGGACAGGGTCACCTCCACGACTCCAGGAATGTGCCGCGGTGGGGTCTGCACGCGGATGGCATGGGGCGTGATGAGCTACAAAAAACACACAGTGAGCGGGCTTTCAGAGGCGCTGGCCGGGAGGGGCGGGCACTTGCCGCTGCGGTAGAATTACGAAAATGAGCACAAATTGGACCATCATCCCGGAATGTCCCGGAATGCTCCCTCCTAGCTGTCACGCAGAGACCGGGGATCTACTGTGTTCCTTAAGAAAAATATCTGCAAACGATCCCGGGTTTTACTTTGCAGGAAAGGCCACAGGGCATCATTCATATGAAAATTGCCACCATATGTCCCCTTAAACCCGCTTCTGGTAATTCTAGCACTAATTGTTGCAGTGCACGGAGGGGCCTCCTACGGCAGGTTTGAAACCCCAGGGTCGGGGGGCTCCGTGCCCACCCACCGGAGGAGCCCCTGCCACAGGCGAGCCACTCGGGACAGGGTGCCGGGCGTCAGCGGGCTGCGGACAGCTGGCCAGGCCGCTCGCGGGAGAGGCGCGCGGGCTTACCTCGCTCCACACCAACATGGTTCCGAACACGACTTGCAGGCCGTCGAAGAAATTGTCTCCGATTATGATCACGGTGGCTCCCCCCGTGGTCCAGCCTTCGCTGGGGCTGATGGCCTTGATGCACGGAGTGGCTGCTCGCACAAGACAGAGAACGCACACCTTAGAGCCCCGGCCCCCGACTCGGGCCACTCTGCCCGCCGTGTGTGGGGCGCGCGGTGCAGCGGGACGGGGGAGGGCCGTTCCTCCAGGCAGCGTGCAAAGGGCAATCGTACATCAGCATGTTGGTGTGTTTAAAGCAAACTATTAAATGTTTTATAAAGCAAAGGCCAAGCCACGGAATACTGGTGAGCAAGAAAAAAACACTGGCTTGATATAGCAAATTATGTGTCAGGGCAAATATGACGATTACAAATGATTAAGCATGGCGCACATGTGGCACGTCGATTTATCTGCTTTGCTGTACAGATCTAAGCAGAGTCAATCAAAAGGTTGTTGAGGGGGATGGGGGAGCAAATGCCTTGCATTTCGATTCCTCATAAGCAGCTAATTGGGTTGGGTTTTTTCATCCACGAACTTTGCCTTTTGGTTCAAAACTTCATTTTCCTCTGTCACTCCACAATTACTACTTTTCACTTTTCATCAGGAGGGAAAAAAATCAAAAGCGCTATATTAATACTTTTGTCAAAGGTACACATTTTACATCTAATATTGTTTGTCGACAGGAATCCCCGAGCCGCTGGCCTGACCTCTCTTTGTCTCGGGAGCCCTCACATTTGCATGAGTTATTACAATGGCACTGGGGCGGCCTGTGCCGGCCCTGCTGGGGGAGGGGAGGCGGAGGCAGGGGGAGGGCGCAGGGAGAGAGGGAGGAGGGCAGGAGGCCCTGGCGGGCTCCCGGCAGCCTGGCGGAGGCCAGAGCCAGGGCTGAAGGCTGCAGCCTCGTGGAGGCCGGCTTTGTTCTGGCCTCTGACAGCCCTTCTTCTATCAGGCGTCAGCAGACCTTCTCTGAGGCCTCTGACGGCCTCCTGCAGGCCGGGCCCGAGCCAAGGAGCAGCTCCTCAGACATCTGCTGACTGTTGCTGGTGGAAGGTTCCGGGCACGCGCTCTCCTGCCTGCCCAGGCCCGGGCACCGTCCTCAGGTCCCCTGGCCCGACTGCCTCCCTGTCCTTGCTGTACGAAGAACAACGGGGCACGTAGGCCTGGATGGTGGCCGTGGGGCCCCCAAGACCCGCCAGGTCTCCCAGCCGATGGCTGTCTGGACACGATTACGCCCCAGGCACAGGAGGGCGTAACTGGGGAGGAAGGAGGAAGCCCCCTGCGCCCCGGGCTGCCCGGCTACGTGCTGGAAGGTGTGAAGACAAGCTGGAGGCCCAGGAACCCGACCCCCGGCTTGAGGGGTAGCCTCTCTGTCCTGCTCTTCTGGCATCGCTCACAACAGCCTCTGTGGGTATTTGTCCAAAAAGTAGTAACTAAGCCTGATAAACAGGAAGCGGCTTATCCAAGCCTCCCCCGAGTTCCCGGCCGGGTCCCCCATGGTGGTGTGCGTAGACGAGAGCCCCGCGAAGGACATCGTGGGGCCTTATTAGGCTGTTCATCTTATTCGAGCCCCCGTGTAGCTCGGCTTCAGATAAATCATCTTTTTAGACTCTGGGTCAGATCTGGTTGCACGTCTTCATAAGTGGGAGTTTTCCGGAAGCCCACGTGCAGTGGTTTCCCTGACGGGTCAGAGGCAGCCCTTTGCAGACACCGTCTAGTTAATCACCATTAGCTATTGTTGTTTAGCACACCGCCGACATCCACCTTCCTTTGTTTGCTTTAATGTTGGACTAGCGGGGGTTATATTTGCTCATTCTACACGCATCCCCCTCTGCAGCAGAAGCACAGAGCACACACTGGGAACCTGCCCTTAACTAGCGCTGTTGACTTCATGCTAATAAGTTCATACAAATTTTCATTTCTGAGGCTTCCGAATGACATTTGCTTTTCTTAATTGCATGGAGAGCATTTGAAAAGGATCAGCTCTCTAAAGACTGACAAGTCTCCTCCAAGGGGGTGACCTTCATCAGCACAGCCAATTATGGCAAATAATTCACAAAAAAAAAATTACAGTAAACAAATTTACTTTGGAGGTGAGAAAAGAAAAAAAAAAAAAATCCAGGATCCACTGCACGCTCAGGAGACGGCTATTTGGCAGCTGTGGCCCAGCGGAAAGCCACATCATCTTGGAATCTGGAGGGCTGCTTGGCGGAAAGGAAACCCGGGCCTGCCTTGGCCTCCTCGCGGCCGATAGCCATCTTCCTTCTGCCCGTATTTGCATACATTTCAATGCACATATAGAGAGGGAACATGTGTTCAATGGGAACCATAGCAAAATGAATTACACAGACCGCGTTAGAGATCTAATGATATACGTGCAGAGGACACTCAAGCAGATGACGGGAGCTGGCCCAGCAGCTGAAGAAGCCAGAGGAGCACAACACCGGTGGGAAGGGGCCCCCCAGGCGCCCCCCGGTGCTGTCCCCAGCCTGCTGCGGGGGACGGACTCCGGCCGGCGTGCTCTCCGCACGGGCCGGCCTCCAGGGGCCCCAGGTGACAGAGCCCCGGGACAAGGAGGCACGGCCACGCCTCCCCTGCGGATCTGACACGTGCCTGGATCACCTGTTTTAACTCGAAGGCGCCTGTCCCGCCTAAGAACACCGTCGTCCCGACGCCCGCCTGCGGGGCTCCGCCTGCGACACCCACGTGGGCGCATGCGTCTGGTGGCTGGCGCGCTCAGTGGCTGGGGCGAGGGTTTCAAAAGCGGGAGTGTCTCCCTTCGAGGCCAGTGTGGTTGTGCCACCTCATTCCGCCCCCCCCCTTTCTTTCGGGGGTCTCTCTCCCTACCTCCTCCAGTATTCTATTAGCAAACTGCTTCCCCGTCCTGTCCTGTTAATCAGGAAGCTCTCCTGAGTAATATCATAGCATTTGTCACCTCGCTCTGCATTCACAATATTGAGGGACTCAAACAGGCCTAATCTTGCTTCACGAAGACTTCTTTGTTCTGCCTGCTAAAATGTCTTGTAATTGTGCTTGGGATGCCCAGATGGCTGGCTGATACTCCAGCTGATAGGATTATACCTTTTACCTCTCCCAGGGCCATCTGTTCCCCTTAACTCGCTAAAGCCCCGCAGCCTGCATTCGCCTGTCCTTATTGCATAAACCTAACCGCATTACGGCACTTGGCATGCAAATCGCTTCTGCGCTGCCGGCCGGGTGCTGGGCTGGGCTCACGGAAGGTTTAAACAGGGCTGGAGTCGTTTACGAGGGCACAAGTGACAAGGAGGGGGAAAAAATGAAAGCCTGAGTTCTGCGGGGCCGCGCTGGAAGGTGGGATGGTTGTTTTCCCCACGCCTGTGTTCAATACTGTAAATAATCTGCCTCGCTTTTCGGGAGCTCAAAGGACGCGGTGGCAGGCATCCACGGCGGCGGCAGGGGGAATTAGTTTACTTGGAAACCATCAGCGGGTATGTACACAGTGCTGGTGAATATCAGATGATTGGATAATGAGGTGCTAGCCAGCAAAGGCTGCACAGACTCAGATCCGTGCTTCGTGGGGGTGCTTTTTCCTTAAAGAATGTGGACCTGACTCCAAGCCAGCACCCCACACCCCTACGATGTGCCCTAACCACGGAGGAGGAGGTAAACGGGTGTTGGGCCGGTTATGGCCAGCCCTGAAAATGGACTTGGGAAGTGTGGGCTCTTCGGGAAGTAGCCGAAGCCTGGGGCGTGTATCCCCCCATCCTGCAGAGAACACTCACGTTCTGTAGCGTGGAGACCTGGGCGCCAAGTACCACACACGTGTGCGCGTGCGCCTTACCGCCTACGACAATTTTCTTTTTCGTGAAAGACCTATCTCTACGCGCTAGTTCTCCAAGTCACCTATTTGCATTTTAAACTGATGAGTCACTTTTTGGGGCAGAAGGAGAGGCTTCAACCTCTTGCAAGAAAGTGACTTGCTGATAAAATACGGAGAAACAAACATTTCTTTAAAACAAATCTTCAGCAAGACCGCTTCTGCAAATAGCTTTTGATTAGCTGGGTCTTATCTCCAAGGTACCCACTAGTGGCCTTTATTTTCCTAAATGCTATCTTTTCTGCTTACAGTCAAATGCTTTTTCATGCTACTTACAAAAATAAATACTTGTACTTTGCTCAGATCATAATAGCTCATTAGAGGAGGCTGATTTTGGACCCAGACTACAACCAAACACCAGAGGGCTGAGGGGGCCTCCTCAAGCCGCGCGCATTGTGAGCTCTGGCTCTCTGGGGAAGCCGGGACTGAGGACCAGGGACTCAACCTTCTTAATTGTGAAGCTCATTAGTGATGGTTGCTAAGCAGAACACACACCTACCTTCAGTGCATAGGAAGGAGATAAACAGTACGTCACAGATTCTAATGACTCTGGTGCGCAGGGCGACCTTTAATTATGATATTTTTGTTCTCTTACACCTTAGTCATTAATGTAGAAAAACAAAGTGGTTTATTTGTGGGGACCACAGCAGATTCATAAATGGTCTTCCAGTTTCTAGATGTCTGAGTCATATTTCATTCTGATCATCTACACACGCTTCATTCATTTTTCCTGTTTGCACCCATCTGCCCGCCTCACGCGTGGCTCCTGAATTCGAGACCTCAGTGTAGATGATCTGTCTCAAAACCATTTTTGTTGGGTGGGCTCTTGGCTCCAAAAGACTGCGCCACGCTGTTTTGTTTGCAATTCGCATTCCTTTCACAACAACAACTCAGATCGGGTCTGGATCTCGTGATGCTGGACAGTGTGTTAGTAGAGAGGACAAGACCTTATTTTAAAGGGTGTGGGATAAACCGTGGGGACGTGGGTGAGTGAAGGGTTTGGGGGAAGGCCCCCCGCATCTGAGTGTTCCGGAGCCCTGACTCTGTGTCTAAGACCACTGCCCCCTGCCTGTATCGCTCTCAGCAAAATTCCTCTCTTTTAACAAGGAAAACAAGGAGTCAGACACTTGGAAGCATTTGGTACATTTTATGCTGTTTGTTCCTCACCCCTCCGCTCCCCCGCCCCCCGCCCCGGCCCGCTCCATCCGGGGACTGGAAGGGCTCCTCCAAGTGTGTTCTGAGCTCAAGGGAGCACACGGCATAACCACCCTCTGAAACGTGCACAAAGTGAGGATGATTTTCTGGATGGGGGCTGAGGACAAGCCCAAATAAAACCAAATAAATTAAAATTGCAAGAAAAGCTGCAAGCAAAAGAAAAGCTTAGAAACAGACAAACCAATAACGTGAAGCCCGTGGCAGATGACATGAGTGAGAAGGCCCCTCCCCAGCGGGAGAAGGGCCGGAGAGAGGGCCGGCGGTGGCTCCCGGGGGGCCGTCCGACCCGCGAGGGGCACCGGTGAGGGCGACGGGACATGACTCGACGTAAAAATGGTGCAAAGGAAAAGAAGCATTGCAAATAAAAAAGACATGTAACATGTGCCTACCATTTTCCAGATAAGAAGGGGCCGTACCTTCTGACGGGTCTAGACGGCGGGCCCGCCGCCCGTGTTTGGAGTTGTTGTGCACAAACATGTTGTCGGACACGGCCAGCACGTGGCCGTCCACGTTGACTGTTGTCGACACAACAACCTGCAGAGACGAAGTGTACGTGAAACAAGTTGGCAAAGGGAAGTGCCGTGGCCGAGCTGGTGCCCGCTCCCGGGGGCCTCCACTGCGCACCCCCACTTCTGGGGGCCTGCGCCACGCACCCCCGTGGTCCTGGCTAACGGGTGCCTCCACTGCGCACCCCCACTTCTGGGGGCCTTCTCCACGCACCCCCGCGGTCCTGGCTAACGGGGGCCTCCACTGCGCACCCCCACTTCTGGGGGCCTGCGCCACGCACCCCCGCGGTCCTGGCTAACGGGTGCCTCCACTGCGCACCCCCACTTCTGGGGGCCTCCACCACGCACCCCCGCGGTCCTGGCTCACTGGGCTGGTGGGCTGTTTTGTTTTGACTCAGGGTTGCTTCTCTCCAAAACCCCGTGTGAATCACAGTTTAATCTATTATGCTAACAAGTGAGTTCAATGCAGAGAAATATTCTTCTAGCCGTTAGCTTCAGAAACACCCCTCCAGCCGCTCATTTTAAAGCTGCTGTTTTGATTGATCTGTTCACATATTGATTGGATAGTTTATCTAATTAAAATTAGTTCACTTGAGACTATCCTCCCTTGGAGCATCGTGAGGATTCAGAGTTGCCAAAAACAGGCTTCCTAAATCAGAGGCACTCGCCGCCCACAGTCTGGCCTCCACGGTCCCCGGGTCGATGTGACAACTACCCAGAATGTCCGCTAAGGAACTTTTTTGGCGTCTGAAAAGACGGAGCTGAGTATGAAAGGTGGAAAGTGTTGTCATCCAGACAAGTGTCCTCAAGTTCACCGGCAGAGGACGACAGGGACCCTGGTGCCAGCGGAACAGCCCCTTCGGCCCGACAGACAGCCTCGCCTGGGCCACCCTCGGCCACCCCAGACACCTTCCCCGGTGAGCTTGTGACAAGCATCCTCTAACGGACTCCCTGCCCAGCCTTAAGATTTTTCTTAAACAGAAGTGAGCCCATGTGGTCCCTTATTCGCGGAACAGCCGATATGAGCAGCAAAGGCCCAGCCTGGGCCTCACAGCAGGGCTCACGCGGCTGAAGCCTGCGTCTGGGGTGCGGGGGGCCTGGCTCTTTGCCACGTGCGGGCGGTGGTGGGGCCAGAACCGCCTCGGGAGGCACCGCCCCACACCCGCAGCAGGAGCAGGGGAGGAGGGGGCCAGGGAGCCTCCCAGCCCGCGTCGGCCCCCCCAGCCCAGTCTGCACATGCCCAAACACGCCATGCAAAATGACTCCTGAAAGCCCAGCCTGCAGCAGCCCTTAGTTAATAATGCATCAGCGCTGGTTCACTCGATGCAGCAAATGCACCCCACCAGTGCAAGACGTAACAACAGGACAAACTGGCAGGGAGGGTGTGTCCGGGGTGGGAGGGGTTAAGGGAATTCTCAGAACTTCCTGGATGCTTCCTGAAAGCCTAACACTGCTCTTGAAAAAAACAGTCTAGAGGCAGGTAGGTGGCTCAGTCGGTTAAGCAGCCGACTTCGGCCTAAGACATGATCTCATTGTTCCTGGGTTCGAGCCCCACATCAGGCTGCATGCTGACAGCTGGGAGCCTGGAGCCTGCTTCAGCTTCTGTCTCTCTCTCTCTCTCTCTCTCTCTCTCTATCTCTCTCCCCCCCCCACTCATGCTCTGTCTCTCTCTAAAAATAAGTAAACATTAAAAAGTAAAGATAAAAAAATAAAAAGTCTATTGGTTAGAGGGAAAAAGAGAATAAAAGTGATTAAAAAATAAGTACCATTTTTAAGGACTAAAAAAAAGTCAACGCGGGGCACCTGGGTGACTCAGTCGGTTAAGCATTCAGCTTCAGCTCAGGTCATGATCTTGTGATCTGTGAGTTTGAGCCCCACGTCGGGCTCTGTGCTGACAGCTCGGAGCCTGGAGCTGCTTCAGAGTCTGTGTCTCCCTCTCTCTCTGTCCCTCCCATGCTCATGCTCACTCACTCTCTCTTTCACACAAAAATTTAAAAAATTTAAAAATATCTATTTTTAAAAAAGGTCAATGCTTACACACATACATATGAACACACAGGGAATTGATTGCTTTTATTAAAAAAAAACCTCAGGCCCTACAAGAAAACTGTGAAGCAGGTACAGCACCCCATCACATCCCCCAAACTCCCTCATGGGGCACTTTCTTCCTGGGTGGGCTTTGCAAGACTGCCCGGGTCTCCCCAATACTGGGCCCCTCTGAGCCTCAAAACCCCCACCCTGGGCATCCCCACGTCCACTGTCAGACATGCCATCAGCTTCTCCTGGATGGCCACCACCCACGGGGCAGGCATCTGCCGTGGCCCCAGGATGCAGGGCCACCCTCACTGGGCCTCTGAGCACCTGTGCCCTCATCCCATTGTGACGCAAAGGACCACGTAACGAACGCTGAGCCACAGACTTGACTGTCCTCAAGCTCTTAGACCGCGATACGTTAAAGAAGCAAGGTAAAAATAAAAATAAAAAAAGGACACTGTCTTAGCTCTGTCATCTCTATATAGGTCAGTCACCAAGGGAAAACCGTGTGGTTCAGCAGAGGAAGCAGACTAGCTGTGTTTCGTTCCTTGGCCCAGGCCAGCCCTGCAGTGTGCGCACAGAAAGGTGCTGAGTGTGTGAAGCAGCTGGAGGCACTGTGTAAGCCCTGATACACTCTCAAGTCCAGTTAAACCTTGTGCAAGGCGGGGGAGACGAGCTAAAGAGGACAGAGCCCATCCTGTAAGTAACTGTGGGCTCACGTGCGACCGACGGCGCGTGGGCCGACGCGAGACAACGCAGGACCTCCGCTCTGCCTAGATGGGCCAGCGTCACCGTGAAGCCTGGTGCACGGGGGTAGGAAGCGGGCAGCTGTTTGCGAGACACGCCGTCCCCCCCTGCAGAGCCTGACTGCGAGCCCGCCCCCACACCCTTCTCTGACCGGCTGGCTGGCTGTAAGACAAACGTCACATGTCCTAAAAGCCTGGAAGGTTAAGTGAAACTCCTAAAAATGACCTTGACCCGTCTGATGGTAAGCCATCCAGTGTAGCTGCCAGATTCCTCTCTGGTTAGGAGGGACGGACAGCACCTCTGGGTCCCAGCCCAGAATATTTTTACAATTAAAATCAGCAAGATAATCCATCGTGTATGGAGTACCTTTTACCCCAAAGTAACCTCCTAACCACTCACAAAGGCAAGGAAAATATGAACTCAGTGACAACCCATCCAGCTCTCTCCCCTCTCTCCTTGAGATGCAATCCTCTGAAGCAAACCAGAATATGAGTTAGCCTGCATCCAGGAACACAGCCCAGCAAGTAGGCGCGGGCTTATGGAAGCAAGAAAAGATCAACCCTGAGAGAAAGGAAACTGATCTGAGAGAACATTCTGGAACTTGTAGAGGCCTGCATCGAACAGGTGTGGATCCCTTCACGAAGAGGGCCCAAGGTCTCATGCTCACCCAACAGGCTGCACTGTGGCTCTACCCATGAAAACTCCAGCCATCCATCCCTAAAACGACGACCTTGAGCACGGGCTCCAAGTCCTAACCAATGGTACATGACTACGTACAACTGAGGGAACAGGCTAAGCTATGTACTAACACTGACAGGACTTTATTTGAGAACATTCTGGAACACACCCACCAGACTTACCATGGTTGAACATAAAAGGAAACCCAGTGTAACCTACAGCTCCAATAACTCCAATTTCCAACTTTCTGGCAGCCCAGCAGGGAGGGCGGGCATGCGTGACCACCCTATGAGGGGCACCTTATAAAGCCAAGGTCACATTTTCAGAGCCAATTTCAGTTTGCCACTGGTATGCACAGACTCCATGAATCTGGCATCTTAAAGATGCTGGATCATTTCTAAAGCAACTCGATTTAAATCTTTTTATCAAACAAACCAATTCTGGTTTGCTCCCAAGCCCTTGGAGAACTAAAGACTGTTTTCTGAACCATCGCAACATCAGAGAATTCAAATTTCATGTTAAAAGTGAGGACCTTGGCCCACGTATCTTTGAGAAGCATGTACCTGGAATCTTCGCATATCTCGAGGGTTGCCTGCATTCTTCAAACAGTTCTGATTGCACTTGAGGAAAAACTTTAGAAAGAATCTATAAAAATACAAAAAATGGATATTTGTTAGGGTTATCAGACAAACTCACAGACTTTTAGAAAGACACTGCTGCGCAGGGAGTAGTAAAAGCTACCCACCACTGCCTGCACGCTGCCTGCAGGGGGCGCGCCTAGGAGACGCTGGCAAGGGCGCCTCGGGGTCTGCGGGCCACGCAGAAGGTGTCCCCATACGAAAGCAGGGGCTTACATCTGTCTTGACATTATGGGTCTCCAAGCTTTATGATAACAGCTGTGACTCGGACTGGCCATTTCTTGCCTGGGCTTTTTGCACGTTACCCACCAGGGAGCTGTCCACCCCAGACAGGGCTGCGTGCTTCAGCAAATAAAAACACTGGATGCCTAGTTACATCTGAGTTTCGGGTGGATGACGAGTCATTTTTTAGGACAGGGCCATCCCAAAGCATGCCGATCCTAAAAAACTGCTGTTCACCCATAACTCAAATGTAACCGGGCATGCTCAACTTTACCCAGCAACCGTAATCCCGGAGGATGCCACCACCCAGGGAAACACACTTACAGAGACGTATTTTTAAAAGTTACAGGGGGTACAACTCTTGCGAAAACAAAGGATTTGGGGGTGAGCTTTAAGGGCTGCAATGACTTCTGTGGAAAGTCTACACGTGTTTTTAAGGAAATAATTGATGATTTGGGTATGGCAATGAAATGGTGGCTCGGGGGGAGCAGGAGAGGCAGCCGCCACCCCGGCTCAGAGGCAAGAGCGGTTTCTATTCCCCCCCAGCCCTGCCCCTGTGCTCTGAGGCATGAAGATTCAAGGGTCCTGACAGGGTGCTGAGATGCTGTGACAAAAACCTCATCACGTTGTCCCCTCCGTGCCCGCACGCTCACTCACAACTGCACCTGGATGCTGGAGCACCCACCCGGGGGGAGGTAGCGGGGGCTGGCTCCTGCACCCCTCTGCCTCAGCTGGACGAGGCCACGCCCATTGTGGGCAGAACCGGGGGTGGGGTCTCTGTGCTTTCCACCTGCTCTCTCCGGTGTCTGAGCATCCGTCCAGCAAAGCTACAACACTCCCCTCTCTGTTCTGTCCAAGTATCCCCTGTCCTACTTGAGGGTTATTAATGTTTTATGAAGTTTCACATGATTTCCTTGAACTCAACCTCACGGTCAAGGTTCCTTGTTGACAATTATCACATCAGAAAAGAAAAAGACTCCACCGACAAGAGATTCATTTCTCCAGCTGCATTCCCAACACCTCCCGGACGCCTTTTCGGCCCGGCAGAAGAAAACCCAATTGATGGGAAAAAGAATAGTGGCCACTTAATTAAATTTTCTTACATACCACCAGGCCTCACTATTTTAGGCTGGAATTTACATCTTTTATTAACTCCCCTCACCTATACACTTAGCTCACAGTGCCTTCCAGCACCATCTGCCATCAGCGTACAGTAAGTCACTTGATATTCCACCCACCAATTTTTCCTAACAACCACTGTGCAATTAAACTCCACGCGCTCTGCAGCGAGGTAAATTAGGCGCACCTGCGGCCACACTGCACTTGAACTGCATCAGAGAGGCCCTAACAAGGTGAGGGCGTCACAAACTTATCGTCCAGTCAGGCAATTAGGTTTTCACTTCGGGGACAGCCACATGGTGCAATTATGCCACACATTACCACCCGGCTAATCTTCTGAGCAGGCGCCGGCCTGAGAAGCTCTCATCTGGATGGAGCCGTCTGCGGGAGCTTTTTCTGTGATGTGAAAGATTTTTTTTTTTTTTTTTTTACCCCCGTCCAGAAGAGGTTTCTTTAAATTCCTCGATATCTTTTTAGGTGGCTCACCCTTTACCTGCGAGGCAGCAGAGCATGTTCTGAAGATGGTCTAAACAGCCCCTGGCCGTGAGGAGAGTGAGCTGGGCCTCACCTGCCGGCAGGTGCAGAACTTTAGCAGAACAAAGTTGGGTGCCGGGCCTGTAGACGCCGCCAGCATTGCCGGGACGAGCTCCGGGGCAGGCACACGCATGCACACGCGCCACTTTGGATGCGGTGCCAGTCGCTTTTGCTTCCACCCCAGGGTCCCGTGGGCCGTGGACGCACACAGGATGATGTATTGTGCATGGCCCCCAAGGGCAAGGCCCCTCTCGAGGGTTCTGGTCCCGATCACACGAAGTAAGATACGACATCCAGGTCCGGAGAGACGAAGCTTCAGGCGGGAGGAAGGGGACCTTGTGCCTTCTGTTCACCCTTGTTGGGGTCGTAAGGCGGAGGGGACGGGAGATCTGGCGCCCGACCACCGACCCCGAACGAGCATGCCCCGAGCACAGGGACGCCCCCACCAGCCAGGACTCAGCCAGAAGCTGGGCAGACATTTGGGGGGGAACCCAACGCCCCACGGTGAAGTCAAATGGTAATTCTCACCCCTTAGTCAATTACCCTATAATCGGCTTTTTCCTAAGAAATATCTGACACCACTTTACATATCTTACTTCCAGACTCTGGTACACAAAGGATTTAATACCCTT